TTCCAGCATTCAGGGCCATGCACCCTGAGAAGGAATGTGGATTATCCGAAACTTCTCAGCGTTCTCAAAACACCTAGGTGAATCTTCATTGGCTGAAGATGAACTGGTGATGGGGGGAGGGCTGAGATGAGGGGAAACCTTCTGTATCTTTTTAGCACGGGAAATTTAGTTCTAGCCTGAGCTTACTGCAGCCAGCATCTTTCAGTAAAAGAACCTATCACTTCAAACAAATGGAGTGGAGGGTCTTTCTATCCTAAGGGATTGGACTGGGGCAGGTCTGACATTAAGCTAGAACTGCAACTGTGGTCAACCCAGAGAGGAAGTCGCCTCTATCGTGGGGACTGTGCAAACAATTTTGGTTCAAGGGAGCGATGAGGAGATTGAAGCCAAGGGGGAAGCATCTTCAAACACCCCCTGCCCCCAGGGCTAGATTTCTCTGAATGTACCTGTACTACTAGTACTAGTACCTGTAGTACTAGTAATTCAAGGTTTCAGAGGCAGCAACCAGACTCCTTCTCCTTTATTGACTATACATTTTACCACACCAGTTCAACAGTTTTTAGATACCAAGCTTTACATCAGAACAGTGAAGTGAGCAAGCCATTACACTAGCAAGACTTTGTAGAATAGCAGCATTTACAAACCTTACCTTTCCAACTCATCTTCCCCAGGCAAGATTGGTGGCAAAGGGAGTGGAGGCAATGTTGACGTTTTCAGATGGGGGACAGCAATGGTCACAGAAACATGTCCCTTTGAGGCGGATTGTATGGTGAACTGAGAGTTAGCCTGCGAAGTTAAGGATGTCTTACAGTGGACAGAAGATGACAGACACAAAGGAACTAAAGCAGGGCTGTGAATGGTAGATGACTGAGCAGGTGGCAGAGGGGGAATAACTGGCAATGGAGGCAAGGGGGGCAATGGAGGAGGAACCTGAGGTGGGGATGATGCTGGTAAAGGAGGGAGTGACTTTACAGAAGACAAAGGAGTTGGGACCTCTGGTTCAGCTGACTGTATTTCTTTTGAAGTCACAATTTCCTCCTTTGCTATAGTAAGTTTCATATACTTTGTTCCTGCTGTTTTTGAGTCTCTAACTGAAGCAGGTAGTTTCTTCTCAGAATTTTCTGTCTTTGTTTTGGCAGGCTCAAGAGTTGTTTTTGTTTCTGCACTGTATTGTAGAATATTTACCATCTCCAGATCAGGAGGATATTTTTCAGGCTTAGCAATTTTTGCCTTCCTGACATCCATTATAGACTCTTTTACTTCAGTTAAGTTATTTTCTTTCCTAGACAATAGGCTATGTGAGTCCTTTCTCTCCTTTCTATCAACTTTTGCTGCTGCTGCAGCTGCAGCTGCAGCCCTCTCCTTTTTCTTCCTACTCAGCTCAGCTCCCAAACTGGAGGTCAGTGGTAGCTGAACAGGTGAGATACTAGAATGACGACTGCAAGACCCAGTTCTCTGCTTTTTGTTATGAGATGTTGAATGCCTTGAATAAGCGGGACTTCTACTTCGGGATTTCATGGGCTTCCTATGAAAACAAAATAGGATAAATCAGAATCCCATAAGATCTCAACTGCCATACTTTTATGTAAAAATCAACCTCTAGCTCCGATGAAGTATGCATGATACTTAATACTGTTTTTCTATTACACCATATATGTTTGGTTTGGTGTTACAAGATATATGAATCCAGCCTCTTCAGTCTGTAAACCATGGTTAAGTGCTGCATAAACCCAGCTGGTTTATTCATCAAACCATGGTTAAAATTGGTCATGGTTTAGCCATTTCATAACCCACTCTATGTACAGACACTGACCATGACCTTAAAGCTCCAGTGCACATTCCAACTTCCTATAGGCTTTTCCATTTTCTTCTATAGTTTCACGTCATGTGCATAGCCTGAAACTGCACTTTCCACTCACATATAAGGGATAACATAATACAACAATCTTCATTGTACCACATATTAAAATAAAAGGGGTCAAATAGTTTTGGCCTGGATTTATTTAGACCTAAACCTTTTGCTTGGAATCTAGAAACCATTTGTATCACTGTATGTGCATAAACAGATATACTGTATATAACTCCCTGCACAGAATGTGACAGACACTTCTGCGATAAAAAAATCTTTACTACAAAGTTTTTCTTTAAAACGTTCTGACTAAAAGAGAGATGGGAGGGAGGGAAGCTGAGCTGCCTTTGCTTGGGTCAGCATTGCTTTCAAGTTTCACTCTCCCACAGTGGTGGTTACTTTAGAGCAGGGGTTTCAAACTCAATTTCATTGAGGGCCGCATCAGGGCTGTGTGGGGCCAAGTGGGCGTGGCCAACTGGGTGGGTCGGCATGGCCAACTGGGTGGGTGTGGCCAACTGGGTGGGTGTGGCTAGTTTGATGACACTCCCCAAACTGCTGGCCTGTTTCCTCTTTGCATTGGGTAGACCCGGCCAAAGCCAGGCTGGCCTGATCTTTCCTCTTTGCATTAGGTAGACCACACCTGATCACCCCGCAGGCCTTGAGTATGACACCCCTGCCTTAGAGGTTCCATGTAATCAGAAAAAGAACTCTTGAGGTTACTTTTTCTTTAGCACCAAGAAGACTGAGAGTTCACTGGTCAGCTCAGAAAAAAAATGTTATTTTCAGCTCTGCTGTTCAACATAGGCTATGTACTCTCCAGTATAATGTAGCAGTTAAGGTGTTAAGACTAGACTAGAAAAACCCAGGTTCTAGTGAACTGATGGCAAACTTTTGGCTCCCGTGCCGATAATTGTGTGCGCGTTCATGCACACGTGCCAGAACCCAGAAGGCAATGTGTGCTGGCCGCACCCACCCCCCGAGCATGCGTGTGCAATCCCCTTGCCTGACGATGCACATCTGCGCATGCATGCGCGATTCCCCTTGCCGGGCACTGCATGATCACCCTTGCAGCACACCACACTTCTGCGCCTGCGCATGCAATCCCCTTGCAGCACACCACGCATCTGTGCCTGTGTGCACAATCCCCTTGCCGGACACCGCGCAATCACCCTTGCAGCATACTACACGTCTCCCACACGATCACCCCCACACCATCCACCTGCGCATGCATGCGTGACCCCCCAGCGTTTCTGCACACACACCCCGTGCATGCAAGCCAGATACCCGACAATCAGCTATCAGGCAGTGGCAGCACGCACGCATGCGCAGTGGGGCTCTGCCGGGTGAGCTCTTGCGTGCTTCCGGCACTTCCGGCACGCATGCCATAGGTTCACCATCACGGTTCTAGTGCATCCTCAGCCACAGAAAACTGCTATGCAACTGTAGGCAAAACACTCTTTTTTTAGTACATTCTATGTCATGGGATTATGATAAAAAATAAGAAGAAGGGGGATGCTATATGCCTTGCCTACAGCTCATGAAAAGTAGAAACTAAATTAAAAGTACTGGCAACATCAAAACTCAATACCATGTGTCAGAAATCCACACATTGGTTGTTAGTCTTCCCTAGTCCTTCCCTAACAGTGAGTCTTCACAGTTCTAACATTACTGGACAAAACTGTTCTAAGAATCAGATCTCAGCAGATCAGTAATCTTATCTAAATGATTCCAAATCCCAAACACTAACATTCCAACAAAATTAACCTACAAAACACAAAGATTTGAAAACGATTTCTGCAGTTAACTACAGGCAGAAATTACAGGCAGCTGAGAATGTTTAACGGGAGCACCTCAGGTCTTTGCAGTGTAGATTACTAATCTAAAATTTAGAAGATATAGTAGCTGCTTGAAATATGAATGTTAGCTGCCTCCTTACTTTTTAATTTGTATTTTTTAATTAGTGAAGTACATTAAAAGCTGCCTATTTTGTTGCTTCTTTATTTTCAGGTTATATAAAAGTTACCAATATAAGAGAAACATGTAGCTCAGGGTTGAATTATGGAGTCCTTGGTGCTCTCTGAGCTTGGCTGTTTGCAGACATTTCATTACCCAACTAGGTAACATCATCAGTGCTTCGGAGTATGGAGTTTGTTCCCTGTTTATATACTGTTCATATTTAAATGTTTTAGTTTTTTAAAAACCTTTACTACATTCATTATTAACACAGTAGGGCTGAGACTTTCAGACAGTGGTGTCCACAAATCCAGTTGCCTAGATCATTACATATAAAAATTGTACATACAGTTGTTTATGACAGGCACTGTTGACTTAAAATTAAGCTCAAAGGTAAATTAGGCTGCAAAACAGGCCAGAAATAGCAGTAAACAGTCCACAAAGCCAGTAGGGGTCAATAAATACATGTGATTGAAAAAAGAACATCATTAAATCAGTAAACATGCCTGAACTCAGCCTTTGGCCAATTATTCTAATTTTATTCCAAGTTTAGAATAAGCTATCAACAAGTAACTATAAAGATATTTTCTATTTTAGGCAGTTTAAACTGTTTTCATGGTTTCCAATATGAAAAAATCTACTTGCATTCTTGGGGATACCAAAGTCATAGTTACTGATGTTATTTTGGAAACATAAGGTTCTTGACAAGAACAAAGAGGAATATTCTTTCTTGAATGAAATTTAACTGGGGCCCAGATGTGGGATCTTTCTTCGCAATGGTGAGTGTCATTACTAGGAATCACCAATTATCTACAGGAATCCAACAATAATAAGTGTCTTAATACTTTAATAAAAACTATTTTGTTTTGGCTGAAAGACTGTTATTCCCATGGAATGCACTTGCTGATTGAGTTCACACATCACACTACAGTGTGGTTTGTTTTAAAAGTTATGGTGGCCTAATTTTACCACAGTGTGCAGACCACAATAGCTGGATTCAACCAACATACTAAGTCATAACCAAACAAACCTCCACAAGGTTAAGTGACATGTGAACCCAACCACAGTCAAATGTTAAGTATGCTTCAGAGCCATGGTCGCCAACCAGTGGGCCGTGGCTTGCTTTCTAGCAAGTCTTTAGATCTTCGACTCTGCTTTTAAGTACAACTGAACCTCCCTTAGGACTGAAGGTTTGCTTGCAAGAAAATTCAGTGCAGACTCATGGCAAGCAAATTTGAGAGACTGAGCTAGCCGATGGCAGATAGATAGATCACTGAATGATTCTGTGAGCAACTCAATCTGCCTGCTTTGCCTGATTTTGGGTAAAAGTTGCTCTTTTTTAATAAAAAAAATCAATATTTATATGCATGGTGTGTTGTGAGTTAATTTTATGAGTTTGCTTGCAAGCAAATTTTATGTGACAGACTGAGCTAGCCAATGGCAGTTAGATTTCTGAATGAATCTGTGATTCTGTGAGCAACTCAATCTGCCTGCCTGCCTGCTTTGCCTGATTTTGGGTAAAAGTTGCTCTTTTTTATAAAACATTCAATATTTATATAAATATTTATATTTACATACAAGCCATGCCCAGCCAGTCACATGACCAAGCCACACCCACAAATTAGGCCATGCCCACAGAACCAGTTAGTGGTCCCTGGGATCTAAAATTATGAGTTTGGTGGTCCATGAGGTCCAAAAGGTTGGCCACCCCTGCTTCAGAGCACACTTCCAAATAAGGTAATATATAAACAAAATACAATATTCATTTGTTCCTCATATAATCCAAGAGGGCACTGTTACAGGTGCTCCCAGGTTCAGCTTACTCACACAATCACAGACCCATGGAAGAATGTACATCTTGTAAGTCCCCCTTGCTTTCTACCTGGTTTGTCCAGACAAGTACAATGAAAGCAGACAAGACACACATCCCTGGTCAACAACTGGGAAATAAAATTGGGGAGACACACAAATCATTTTCATCCAAACACTGAGGCACAACAGGTTCTTTTGAATACACAGAGACCCGGTAAATTTAAAACTAACAGCAAAACGTTACTAGTTACAATGTACATTTGATCTTTCTCATGCATACACATATACTCTTACCCAGGTTCTCCTCAACTAGGCTGTCAGTACTAGCTAGAGGGACATTAGCCACTGTTCTGACTCAGGGTTCCTCAAACGTACTGAAACACAAACTTGTTTCAAAAGCAAAACCTATTTTAATGCAACGCTGGGAATTACTTTCATTTCCAGCCAGAATTCATTATACACAGTTCTCCAAGCCCATGTTTTTCAGTGCTGGGGAATGCTGCCAAAAACAGAAGTCTTCAAAGTAATTATAACAGAACGCACCCGAAGTATCAGAAAAAAAACAACCAGAGTACACAGAGTTTCAAGAAGGACTTTGAATCTAATTGAACTGCTTTCGTCATTGAGGTTTGACTTTTATCCCTTATGGGAGAGGCAATCACCTCCCAGCTTTCACCCCTTCTGCTTCAGCTGCTCTCGCCTTCTAGCAGCTCTGCGCACACACACACTAGGAACTGGCTCCCCTGGGTCCTCTGCTTCACTGCTGCAAGACTCTGAAGGCTCCAAAGGCAGCACCCCACTCCCAGATGGTCCTGGCCCCATCCCTGCATCAGACACAGGACCCTTGTCCAAGTCCTCTCCAGACTCCCTGACTGATCCCTTCTTCCTCACTGTCCAACTCCGCTGCCGTC